GGAGGTGCTCATAAAACTGATTAAAAGCCTTATTAGCTCAACTATGGCTGGTATAAAATATCATCAGGGAGATAAACTCTTTGTGGGGGAAATGATATGGCTGGGGAGCTGAACGTGTGCAGCATCCTTGCTCCCCTGTGTCCACAGCCCTTCCAGTGCAGATAAGGGGAGCAGTGCTCCCCAAAGGGACCAACCAAGCCCTGGCGCCACCAGCCTCCAAGCCCAGCAGCTTCCTGGGCTGTGCCACTCATCTCCTGGTCCCCCCCCGAGCTAAGCAGTCACTTCTGGGCAGTCCTGCATGATATTTGCAGGTCCTGCACTTAAACTGGCACTGCCAGCAAAGCTCTGACCAAACACCCCGCGCTGCCGAGGAAGGGAATGTGGGGAGCTTCCAGCAGGCTTGCATGGGGGGAATAAATGCATCTGCTTAGCTGAAGCAAATCCTTGCAGCATAAACAAACAGGGACACATGTTTATTCTTCACTCCATTCACAACACGATAAATATTTATTTCAAGTGAGCAGCTGGTTACTTAGAGCTTTGTCTAATGCTGGGTTTGATCTACCAACCATTTGGACAAGAGAGGGTTTTTTATATATTTATGGTCATGAACTGTGCTCCAAAAGCTATAAGAGAGCCCTGAAACAAATCTAAGCATGGGAAATATTCTGGAAGCATCGAAAGTCACAATCGGTCTCGCTTTGGGAAGGATGCAGCCTGCCTATCCATAACCACATCACAGGGGCCACATCAAGCCATGCTAATGGCAGGGGTGAGCACTCCCAGCAACACCAAGCATGGCAACAGAAATACTTTTAATTATGACTTTGTGTCTTTTGTCTATGGGTTGCAAAACACATGAAAATAGTTAGGCATCTCTCCACACCCTTACAGGTAACATTTCATCAGTGCTGTCACTGGGAAGATGAAGCACCTAATAAGTCAAGGACAGATGCTGAGAGCCCGCCTCTCTGTGTTTAGCCACAAAACTATGTCCCTCTTACGGCACAGCGATGCCTCTTCCAGTCCCTACTTGCCATAAATAGAGACAGCGAATAACCGCTTGCACTGAGAGAGCTGATCTGGTTCTGGACGTTTGTCAGACTTTCCAGTGGGCTGGGGCAGCTCCCTCAGCCAGACTGTTTGCACTCTTAACTTTATCAAAACGCTTTTCCCCCTCCTCTCCACCTATTTGCCTTGGCAGCTGGTCAGGGGTTTCCAGGCATGCCCTGATGCACACCAAACCCTTGTGCAGCACTGCAGGGATGAAGCTTTTCCCTTTCCTAAATAGAGATCAAAGGAAGCATGGACTTTGACTCCAGAGAGGAGACTCTGCTTTCATTCTCCACCTTTTAATCTATTGTGATACAGCTATGAAGCCCAGGAAGAAGCAGATATTTAGGGAGAAAATTCAGCTACAGCCTTTGTCCCCCTTCTGCCTGCAGCTTTATGTGCTGTGCCTCTCCGGCAGGAGGGACTCAGACAGTGTCTCTGGGTTTTAGCAGCTTCAGATAATGACACCTGGCTGGTGGGGGACAGCTTATTATTACAAAGGAGCGAAGTGGGGTCTCTGCAGGGAAGGATCGCCCTTCTGCTGTCTGCAGGGCTGCACTGCGATGCTGGTGGCCAGGGGCCTGGCTGTGGCTGGCACACATGGCATCATCCGCGCAGCACCACATCACACCTCTCCTGCATGGGAACTCCCACAGCATGGCTCTGGGTGGATACATGCACCCAATCAGCCATGCCTCATTAAGGGATTACACCATATTTACAGCAAATCGCTACAGGAAAACAGGGCCTGAAACAGTACAAGAGCAATTAGCTGCTAACAAGTCTTCATAGATAATCTACCGGACACTTGTTTCTCACTCCAACTGTAATTGCCGCTTTAGCGTCAGCTACAGCAGCCAAGATCCACAAAAAACCCTTTATCAGCAAAATAAATTAGTGGTTGCTGATTGCCACGTCTGCACTCTTCAGGGCAGGGGAGAGCTCTGAAGAGGTCATTGGAAAGGCTCTTGGCAAGGCACAAGGACGGGGAACGCACCTCCAGCCCGGGCATGCTTCGGAGGGTCACAGGAGGACAGAGGCTGGAGGAGGGGCCACTGCTCCATGGCCCCTGCACAGCACTGCCAGGGTGCAGGGTGCTCACCACTGCCGGACTGGGCTGAGGTCCTCACCCAGCAGAGGCTGGGACCCGGCCCCACTTTCTACAGCCTCAAGCCTCACCCAGCAGCACGCTGGCTCCGCTGGCACCATCCCCGCCCGCCGGGCTCCTGGCCCACAGGGATCTGTTCTCCTCCTCCCGGGCTCTGAACCCCATTTCAAAACCCCCTGTGCCCTACTTCGGGCCATGGGAGTTTTACCTTCCTGCTCAGTGTCGCCTCCGAATGAGCAGGCGTTCGGTGCTGGGTGAGTCTGGGCTGAAGGAACTGTGTCCTCAGCATCAAAACCAGATGCAGTTCAGAGCCAGACCTGCCCGCAGGCGCATGCCTTCCCCAACAAACACATGGAGAGCTACGTTACCTACAAACAAAAGAAAAATGAAACAAACTGTTTCTCCTGCAGACTGGCTGGGAAGAAGAAGTAAGAGTGTTGTTTCTATTTCTGAAACTCCAGGGAGGTGCTCAGAGCCCTGCCAAGTGGCCAGCCAGGCGATGCTCAGGGAGAGCGAGAGCAGGCAGCATGGCAATCAGACTTTTTTAAGCGCTTGGATTCATCCTGCCCGATCCTTCTCCCTGGAGCAGGCTGAGAGGGGCTGCCCGGCAGAGGGCAGGGACCACAACCAACCAGCACAACCTCCCCGTGCAGACCAGGCACCAGCCTGCCGGTCTCCTTTGCTTGTGTCCCCTCATTAGATCGTGGTGCTTAGCCACAGGGGAGCTTTCCTGAGCAGTGGTGGGGTGCACCCATGTCACACAAGCAGGGGTGAGTGGGTGTTTTCCTCTCCCATTCATTGTTTTTTTACCTTACTGCTGCTCTTCCCTTTCTCTGCTTGTCCAATTCCTCTACAAAGGATGCACCACCCGGTTCCCATGCTCCAATAACTCCTGTTGCTCTGACAGCTCCCTAAACCCTGTGCTAATGCTGATGGCAGATGACAGGCAGGGAAAGCAGAAGCTCCATTTTAGGGGGAAATTCATCAAGCCTGTTTGCTGTGTCCCCCCATGTAGAGCCTCTGGGATCTCGAGCACTGAAGCAGACACATGCCTAGAAACACACTTGCTCTCTCTGGAGCCTCTCCAGTACCGATGAGAAGAGGGAAACAGCAGGAGCAGTGACAACAGCTCTCAGCCATGCCCGCACATGATCCGTGGTGACTGAGATCAGGGTGACACCTTGAAGCCTTTTGCACCAGAACAGTGTAAGCCACGGACAGGGTCTTTCATGGCAATGTCATTCCAACAAGAGCCCTGGCACTAGCGCCATCAGAGCCACAGCGAAGGGCAGCACAGTCCCTGGTGCGTGGGGAGGAGCGGTACCAGCGGAAGGCAGGGCTGTGCCCAGAAACCAGCGCCGAAGCCCCGGCACAAGGAGTGAGGAGGAAGACACCTACGATGCTCTCCTTGTGTAACCACAGAGTGTTATTTCACATGCCGCGAATCACAAGCCACTTCTGTCCCCACTGAGGGTAACGTAGCCAAGGGGACTGGGACTGCCATCCTTCCCTGCGCTCTGGGGGTCTGACACTGCTGCCTGGGATCAGGAAGGCTTTAACTGAGCTGTTTTCTCTGCCTCTGCACCAGCAGGCCCATGACCTCTCAATCCTCTCAGTGAGCTTTGCCTGCCTTGAACTAGATCAGGAGGCCAAGCCACTTCTCTGTTCGACAGATGGTAACTAAATCTAATCCACGAACCCTGCCACGGTCCCAGGCAGCAGTGGCAGCTCTGGAGGAAGCAGAGCCTTGCAATTCCCCCTCAGGTGAGGAGCTCACATCTCCTCAGCGCTGGAAAAGCTTTGGAAATCTTGCTCTTCCCCAGCTCCCCCCTGCAGAGTTCAGGGAGACGTTAACAGAGAAAAATGCTGATGCTTTAACTCCTGCACTCCTGACACTGGCACTGCCCACCACGGCTGTGCCGTGCCATGCCACCTGGGGATGAAGAATGCTCTGCAGCAGACGGGTCACACAACTCCATGTCCCCACGTGCCGGGGACCTCAGTGCTTGCCTGTGCTCTCCAGTAAGGGGGTTTCCAGCTCTGCTCACCCTGCCTGTATCCTCACAGATCACAACCAGAAATAAATCCCACTCTGCCTCCTCCTGGCCTGCTTCTTCCCCAGACCTGGCGGGGGATTCCCAACCATGAAGGACGTTCAAAGTGGTCCACAAACAGTGAACTTCCACCACTCGCAAGTTGGCCGACATCAACCCCGCAACGAGCACCACCCTGGGAGCACCCCAGGACCCCTGGGCTTTCCCGCACTGCTGCTCCCCCTCACGCCTCCCTTCCAAAAGCATCAGGACAGACCCCGAAGACTGAGACCTGATTCAGACACGTGTGCCCACAGGCGGACTTTGCTCTGAAATTCTCAAGACGCTGTTCACTCCCGTTCAGCTCCCGCGGTGCTGGGTGCTCTGCGAAGCAGCACAGTGACAGGGAGGGAGCAGAGCGGGCGACCTACTGGGTTCCCACAGGAATACCCAGCACACGCAGGCTGTTTAGCTTAAGCCAGCATTGCTTATATTTCACCCCTGAAAACTGCCTTCTTGCTTACTTTCACATTTGTGCTTGTTTATAAAGTAAGAGCCTGGCCCCAAGCCTCCAGAAGGAGAGCAAAATGACTCGGTTGGTATTTTGTGGTCCCACCGACCTCTTTGCTAATGAAACAATTCGCACTGCACACGCTACCAACTTGTTTGTAATTAAAAGCAAAATTAGAGTGTATTAATGATGGCTAGGCCTGAAGCCCAACTGATGTGGTGATTTCCAAAGCCCAACGCAGGAGTCTGCTGCTGCTGGTCTCTGGTGGGATGGTATGGATGACAAAGGGTCTTACCTTGGCCTTGCCTGTACTCTGCAGGATGTGCACCAGTGCAGAAGCCATCTCCTCTTTGTTCTTCACGCTCAGCGAGGGCTCCAGCACTGAGCACAGCACCATGTAATTGTTAGTGATGTACTCGGCAAACTCTTTGTACATCTCCATGGGAAGAATGCTCATACTCTGGTAGCGTGACTTGATGCGGATCATGGGCCCCGGGGACTTGCCCTTACCGGGGTTGGGGCTGACCACTGGGTACCATTTCTCTACAAACTGCCGGCCCGTGACAGAGCTGACGGAGATGTTCACTTGTCCAATGAAATTGGTCTTGTCCTTCTTTTTCTTCTTGTCAGTCTCTTTGTATAAGTGCACCGTAATGTTTTTGAGCGATGGGAGGTTATTAAATTCAAAGTGCTCCCCCCAAAATACATTATCAGTTTTCAATTTACAGGTAGTTCGTGCATAAAGAACGTCATCCAGGCATAATTCACACAAGTACTTTTTCTTAGCTGGCAGGTCCTTGGCTTCAATAATCCATAACTTTAACATATTCTCTACCCTTCTGCTGTTGTCCTGAAAAAAAGATGCAAAGAAAAAAAGGTCAATAAAAAAAAAGCACAAAGCCAAGCACAACAAAACTGGAGATATGAGTTCATTATTTTGGATGTGCTAAATGAGCAGAGGCTTAATTACATTTTATTTTAAGGAAATACTGGCTCTCAGGAATTTGCATAATAACACTACTTATGTTAATTTTCCAAATATCACCGTGCTCTCCATGTCTGTTGGTGCCAATTAATATAAGGAACAAGGAAGATAAAACCCCTCCAAATCATAAATGTACCATTTCCCATTCACTGCCAAGAGGGCCTCAGAAGAAACTGAAAGAACCTCACCGATCATTAATGGCTTTTGCAAAACAGAAGCTATGTTACAGGTGTCTCACAACCATCTCCTTTTTTAGTACAGCTGCTTTACAGCAGCACTGGAGTACATTTTCTTTACTGTAACAGAGCAACAACAAAGGGATCTGAACACACACCCAGGGATCACCTCGTCCATGGCTGGAATGCAACTACCTCTGGCAGGGAAAGAAGCATTTACAAAACCTCACGATATTTTAGGGCAGAAGTCCAGAGCACCCAACTAAAACATTGAGAGGAATTATGGGAGACAGAGTAGGTTCCACAGGAGAATCATTACAATTCAGAAATAGAAATTTGGCTTGGATATCTTCTAAACAATAATGGAGCAAAGGATACTGCGGGTCTTTAAGAGCTCCCCAGTGATGCTGACCTCATCCTGGAAGAACATCCAGGGGCATTTGTTGCAGGAGCAACTTGAAAGATAAAGCACTCGCAGCTGAACCGCTGCTAGGGATTCTGCAGTAACCTGTTTTGTTTGGAAACCCCTCACTGAAACAGCAACCACTGCTTACTCTGCTCAGCCTAGGAGTCTGGGCAGGAACATTTCTGCTGGAAGTCCACAATGGGATACTGTAGGTTCAGGAAGTACACACAGGAACTATACAAGAACACTGAATTCCTGACAGAAATATCAAGTCAGATACTGAGAGTTTATTGTCTATGAACTCAAGCAAAGATGGAAAGTTAGCCATCAGTTAATGGCATGTTTTGAGATGAAGGCACACTTCCAAATGAATTTCCACTGAACACTGCGTCTCAAAGCCATAGTGATGTGCCCAGCCCCAACTCACATTCCCAGGACTTTTCTCATGGTCAGTGTGACCACACAAACCTTACACAGCTCTTTCACATCATTACTACCAGGCTGCTGCACTCAGAAAGCACCGGAGTCACTGAACTCCACGTGCAGGAACACGCGGCTAGAGGCAGAAGTCCACCTCTCCCCTCCGCTGCTCCCGTTCTGATATTGAAGGAAATCTTTTACACTGACATTTGGCACTGTGCTGGGAACAATAAACTCCGACACAGAGGGCTCCTTTAGCAACCCACCAGGCCTGGACCTAACTTGTATGCACAGTTACGTGGCTCTGATGCCAGGAATGAATTCACAGGATCCCATCATTTGTGTCTTCTCTGATCAGCAGAAAAAGACTTGTTGATTGAGCTCATCAGTTGTGAAATCCTGCAGCTGATTAGTCCTGATCAATCTTTGTTAGCTAACTCTAGTGCAGAGAGGGAAAAGCAGCTGCAGACTTTATTTTAGGATATACTTAGTCTTAGCGGGCCGTAAAACCACATATTGGGTGTCCCTGTGTTCCAGGGAAGAGAAGGATTTGTTTCTGTAGATCCCGGAGGGGATGATTTTGCCACCTGAACTGACTGGAGAAAGGAAAGCTACATTCCACTATCACCTCAGAGAACTCGCTGCGATGGGCACCTGAGTTTCTCCACTGCTAAAGCAGACACGACGAGTACTACCAGAGTCAGAAGTGTGATATGTGAACTCTTTAGACTATTCAGTCTTGTAACTTTGCTGGCAGCTACCTGACATCTGTCCCAGAGCTTTTGGGAGGTGGAAAGTCCTACGTAAGTGGCAAGTATCATCAGTAACAGAGCAAGACTGAAGATTCTTCAGGTCTGATCAATTCTTAGAAACAGCTGAAGCAGCATGTGCTGAGAAAAGAGGGGAAGAAATAATTGGCACTTGCCTGTAAATATAATTGTGGAAGAAAGCAATATGGAAAAAGGCTGACCTATAGTTACACTTACTCACCAAAATGACAATACGTCTCCTGCTGCTACTATGCACTGGGCTATAAAATGTAATAACGAGGAACTGAACTATAACAGAGGCAATTCCTCAAAGCCACTACCTTGTTTGGGTGCACGGCACGCCGCAGGTTTTCCATCCATTTATCTCGCTCTGCTGCAGAACGACACGAGAAGCACTTACTTCCTGATGAAGTCGTCACCTACAGGGAAAGGAACAGGATTATGTCTTGACCAGCACACTGCAGACTGTGATTTGGGGGGAGAGGGGGAGTTAGGAAAGATGCCAGTGGATTTTTTTTTTTAAGTAAACAGCTTTACCCAAGCATGAAGCAACAGCCCCTAAGGCTAGTGGAAAAAACAGGGCAACTCTGTATGTCACAGAAATAATCACAGAAGCAAATTCCAATTACTTCTCCTCTTCTACACCAGAAAAACACTAGATAATGGGCCCCATGCACGTGACGCTTTAAACCACCAAGTTCCACAACTGAGAGAGAGCAAATCCTTAGATGAACTAAAGATAAATTGCAACCACTCGGCATTCCTCCAGATTCAGCCCAAAGCTTGCAACAGTAACAACCCATTCCTTGTTTTCAGCAGAACATCAGGCCCAGAAAAGCTGGCTTCGTACCTTCCCTCTTCGTGTCCTGTTGCTTCTGAAGACCATGCTGTGAAGAACTTGGGGCCAAGTATATACACCACAGTCCTGGAAGCAGTAGGAGCAGTAGCTCACAGCCCGGCCGGAGGCACTCCGGTCCTCACAGCACCTGCTCCCCACCTGGGGAGAACCAGGCTGGCGCTCCCGGACCTGGAGATGGCCAGTGAAGTGCTGCTGTACCCTCCTCTCACCTCTCACGCTCCAGTATCACTCCAAGGGATCTTTCTGCAGTATTTGTGTGACTTTCTCTGGCCATTGGGATTTCATAGCCAGGTTTTGAAGAAGAACACTCGCAGCAGTGACATTTCCAGTGGTGCGAATGCCCCTCATTCCTTATCACATCCCTGTGACCACATGGAAACTCAACCCCGTTGAGAGCCCACCAAAGCAGCCACTGCCCAGCAGCCCCAGGATAACAGGCACCAAACACTTCTTCCTATCCACCACACCAAGCTTCCTCGGCATCAATTACTGAGCCAAGGTCTTAAAGGCCAATAGTTCTCTGTGTCTTCTCATGTACACGTATCCCTCAAGCCGCTCTCTCCCCCAGGCCCTGCTGGTAAGCTGACAGACCATGACCGTGGTACCAGAACTCTGCACTGCACATAAAGCTCTCCGCCAGCTGCTCTGCGCTTCTTTGCATTTGCTGCATTTGGTGATGTCCAGTAATATTCTTTATGTACATCCCTGCTTGCAGGCCAAATGGACCTGGCTAGTACTTTAAATAACTCCCCTCTGAGCTTCATTTCCGCCAGTCTCAAGCTGCAAAATTATTTCTGAGAACTTTATCATCTCACAGTGTTCGTGTTTACACACTGCACACTGGGTTATCTGCTTCTGGGAGACGCAATCTCCTCTAATTTCATGTATCTCTCAGAAGCCTAACCTGTTCTTACAGCAGAGCTGGCTCTTGCTAAGATTTGTCATTAGCTAACCTCAATGAGGAGTTGAACACATCCCTTCCTTTGAACACAGACATCTTCTAACCAGGACAAAATAACAAGAGGCCTATCCTGTCTTCACACAGCAAATGCAAGAAATCTTCCAACCCTTGATATCCCAGAAGCTCTCTCCTTCAGGCAGATACTCTTCCCTGTCCTTACACACTTTCATCTTCTGTCCTGTAGAACTATATATTCTTCTGAGCACAAGTTATCTTCTATTTCCAAGAAAAGAAGACTCCATATTAGCAGGCACAGTAGTATGATCTTTTCAGCATCCTTTCACACTTCAGTGTATTTCCAGCTTCTTTGAAGTTTCCCATTACAAATCTGGCCTGCTGCAAATGCTCATGTGAACCTCCGTCCCTGAACCTTCACAAACGGAATTCTGGTTGCACAAGAGATGTATCACTTGCAAGACCGTGTCCACCGCGTGTGATCCCTACGCGTTGCTCTGCCAGAGGGTACGGCAGTTTTGCATCTTGATCCTTTTCTCAGTAAGAGTTCCTGCAACAGCATTCAAGCCGAGCATAGCCATACACCTGACTGCTAATGACACCTGAAGAGAAGCAATGCACGGCTGCATTACTGTTGACATGGTGCTGTACCATCTTAACACTGAATTACAAATACACAGATCCCAGAAGTACCACTTAGCAACAGTTTTTAAGAACAGAACTTACAGTGAAGTAACACGGCAGATGCACAGCAAACGAGCATTGCTCCAGACAGTTCCCTAGTTGCTTGATCAATGTGAATTTCTAAGGCTTCAAAGCCGTTCTTCAGACAAGAATCTAACAATTCAGAACTTGAGCCCTGTCTTATTTGGCCCATCTAATTCAGCTGCGAAAAGACTCAAAATCATCCATTTTCAAGTCCAAACCATCAAAGTCCAGACACTACTGGTATAGCCACACTGCCCTGCAGGCGTTATGGCCAGGTTTCTGTACCCCACACTGGGAAAACCCTCCCACTGACATTCTGACTAAGGTTCACAAAATGCAGTCCCCACTGATTGCTTAGAAATCCGTTACAAAGGTGGAATACGTCAAATACATCTTTCTGTAAACTACCCCATTAGTCCATTTCCTCAAAAGCCATTTCTCACCCAGCTTTTTGTTTTGCTCTTTTGTTTTGATGGGAATTTGGTGTACAATGCATTTGAAAACAATGTTCTCAGATCTAGAGAATTTGGTAGGAAACCTGGAAGTTCTTCCCTAAAAGAGAATTATGACTTCTTTGATTGTTGTTGAAAGATGCTCTCTTGAAGACAAGTTCTCCTTGGTGACACACATGGATCCCACAGCTGCCTAGAGGATTCACATCCAAATAAATAAACATGCGATTTAGCTGTCCTTCTACTGAATCTGTTAATTAAATGTCAGGTTTTTTACCAGCTATCTGTTAGGTTGAATATCTAATATATTTTCTTGCTACACTTAAGTCAACATATTATCATTGAGTTATCATGGTAAAATTTATGATTCAATTCCAAAACAATTACCGATTAACTAATCACTCAAAACCTAAAAAAACTGCAACTGCCATACTTAAGTGAGAGAAGGGGAAAATCCTCCTGTGTCAGACATAAAGCCCTCTTGATCTGATGGGAGTTGAAAGTCGTATCTACCATGTCTGACCAAAAATGTAATTTTATCCAGATCTGCAATAACATCCCAGCTTTGAGCTCTGACCTAAACATCATATGGCATTAATGATCTCCATGAGATATTAATTAACTTGATAAAGAGAATATTCTGGTCTCATCAAGATTTTGGATACACTAGAATACTATTAATGTACAGGACAAACTCAATTAATAAAACTCATTAATTTCTAAAATGTTACTTATTCACATGCATTATCCACAGTCTCGGATGGGTGATCTCTTAAGTCAGATAAAATCTTGTCATTTTAAGAATGTCTTAGGTACAGCACGGGTTCCTCAAAGTACACCTGAAGGAATCTCACCGGAGTAACAACAGAAGATGATAACTGAGTTACCGAAGCTGCTTCACTCAAAGTGTTCAAAAGATTTTACGAGGAAAAGTTAGGGTTCAAGCTGGTAAACGCCACCATAACCAAGTGCAGAAGGGCAAACCGGCGCTGCCTGGGCCAGCCCCGCAGACCTGCGACGGCTGCTCAGGGCGTCTGAAGGGCCATGCGAGCAACGGCGAACATGTGCACAGCTGGACTAAATTTAGCTCCGTTAAATTTAGCTCCGCTAAATTCTCCCTTGCTCAGGCAAGGCCACGATGAGGTGACACGGTGTCAGTTGTAGTGGAGCAAGTACAGTCCAGCAGTAGCTTTTTCTTTCTCCTGCTCCGCATCCCCCAGCTATGTCCTGCGACAGCCCAGACACGAGCTGTGCAACTGGACAAGACTTTGGTCTGCCAAGACAGTAACAGAGCCCTTCAGTCGTAACTCCCCTGCCTGGCCCAAGTCACCAGGACCCCACAAATAGCAGAGCCAGGAACAGGCTCTGGGAGTCTGGACTCCGAGTCTCCTTTACTAGACTAAGATGCCCACTGTATATTTAGCACCCGCAGCATGTGCAGTGGCATTAGATGATTATGCTGACTGGGAAGTCTTGTAAGGAGAAAGATGATGCTGAGTAACTTTTTTAAAAAAATCAAGGAAGAAAACAAGTAAATACTGACTGCCAAGTACTCGGCAAGTCAGAAAAAAGCAGGTTTCATAGAACTTAATAAGCAGAAAAAGCCAAATGCAGCATTTGAAAAAGCACTGCGTTACTGCTGACTCTCCTTACCCCCGGCAGAGCCCAGCTGAGGGGAAGCAGAGCTGAGCAGTCAGCTTTGGCACGTCTTAATGCAGGTCAGTCGAGCTAAAGGAGAGAAACAATTGCACTGTACCTTCATACAGCCAGCTCCCTCCAAACGAGCCACTTGGTTTTTTTCCACTGCAGATGGCTTTGGCACCTCTCGCTTTTGTCTCCATTTGGGTGCGCTGCCAGTTCTCTCTCTGAACCTGCCCTCTTCAGCACGACTCCATCTGCAGTCATGTCAAATCCTGCCGTCTTGTTCTCTGAGCCACAAGGCTGCTGCTGCAGCTCGGTGGAGGAGGACCTGTGGGACGCCGCACCTCACACTGCCTGTGCTGGGCAGCCTGGACCGCAATCAGCTTCTGGAGAAGCTGCTGCACGCTGTTGTTGGTGAGGGACCCCAAAGAGCATGCTGAGCCAGCCCGGCCAACCGAGCACCAACATCCCAAGTGAGAACAAACAGACACCAGCCAGCTGGTGATGGAAGCAGCTTCCAAGGCACTGTCCACTGCCCGACCACCCCACTGCAAGGAGAAGGCAGTTAAGAACAGTGTAAGGCAGGCACTGCCTAACAACAGCAAGGCTTCGCTTCTCAATTTGAGACAGCAAACTTGGCCAGTCCTGACAGATCTCCCTAGAGAACAGATCCACAATAGCCTCAAAGCGCAGGGACAAGGCACCATTACCAACCCGCAGCACCTTCGCAAACCACTGTGCCGCAAATGTCTTGGTTCCCCTTGTCCCCGTGACTCTGGCAGTAACTTCTCACTTGACATTTCTTAGTCAGGGCTCCTCTTCCAGGACATCAGCTGAGCTTCTCACTCTTCAGTGTTCCCATGCACAGCAGTGTCACGGCTCTTGGCCATCAGCTTCAGTTTTCCTTTCAGCCTCGTGTAGACTTCAACCAGAGCTTTCCCAGTTCCAGGCCACAGGAACCACTACAGGTTTTACTGCTCTTCGCTGAGCTTCCACTGCAAGGCGGCGGCAGTCTTTGCCAAGTCTTGCCTGTACTTTCAGATAAAGCAACGCTGAAGGACTCAGGATCACAGGCCATAGATGGGACTCTCAGGACACAGTAGTAACTGAAGGCAACATTCAAGCACCGAGGAGGAGAAGATGCTTGTGTGGTTTTGTCACTCGGCTTTCACTATTGCCTGACAATGGAGAACCATGTGATAAAGTTGTCTGTGCCAAAGCACGCAGGGGTCTGGAGGGGCCAGCAGCAGCCACCCAGCCCGTCCCAGCACACACCGCTCTTCCGCCCAGGCGCGAGGCATGGCCCAGGCTCGTCCCTCCAGCCCTGTGCTGCCCAAAGGCAATGCTAACCCTTTGCTTCGATCAGTTGCACCTAAGTGCACGGTGGATTGGGGTCACTGCCTGCTACCCACCAGGGATCCTGGGAGATCTGCAAACTCATCTCAGTGCTGAGCTCACTCCGAATTTGAAAGAGGATCTCTGGAGATACAAGACCAACGCATTAACACAACATGCCATTTAGCTCTCACCTCAGTCCTTCCTGGTGGAACTTGTTGATGAGTAACCATCAATTACAAATCAAAGTCCCTTTTGTTTTCTGGCATTCTCCCTTTCCTCTGCAGGATTTGCAGAACAGCAATTAACATGTTCTTTTTTTCTGTATGATTCTTCTTTATCCAACTCACTTAGAAGTAAAATTTTCTTCCTCCTTACAAGTGCATGACTTGTGTAATTTCCCTCTCAGTCAGCTTTCTACAAGTACTGTTCGTATCCCTTCCTCTGCTCTTGTGCGCTGAACAGAATTGGTAAACAACTCTTATATTATGGATGTCACATCTATTTTCCATCTAGCTCCATTTTATCTTTCTTCAGTGGAATGTAATAGAGGCCATATAATTTACAAAACTGCTCTCCTCCTGACCTGCTGCACTTGCTCCATTCTACAGAGAATGAACAGCACTGGAAAATTTATACCTCAGCCCACTTCAGACTTTATGTTTGGGGCTATTTTTTGTAAGACTGTTTTTGTGTTACCTGCTTATATGTTAAGAAATGGATCTTTTAACTCATTTCTTTCCAAGTGTGCTAATTTCAGTAAAGAAAAAAAATCTTCATCTCTCCGGTCTGACTCCTCTTGGACACTGCCACCTTCACCTAGCACTGCCCATTCAAGAAAAGCCTGCAGTCCTGTCACCCCACCACAGTACGATACAACCATGGATATATGGTCTACCTGCTCTTCTATGTCCAAGTACAAACAGGTTACCTTCTCTTCACAGAAACGCAAGTATCAACCATCTTATTGCTGTAAGAAAACCATTTCCCAGTTCTATATCCAGCCACTGCCGTAAGCAATAATACTTTGCCATCCATGATGCAGGACAAATGATTCCCAAGACATACTACATTGAATTATCCAACTACAGCCTGGTTTGTACGTGTCCTACCACCTCCTGCTAGTACAGGCCTAACCACATGCCATAACAGATGTTAAAAAAAATTGAAATACAGATTTTTCTATTTACCCAAACAAGTGAAGCTTCAGTTTTCTAGACAAAGTCCTCAACACTCCCACTGACAACAGTAGGCTATCTTTGTGACCACGTATAACGTCTTTGTGGCCACTGAGTAGGGATTAGCACTTTCCGATATCTGTATGAACATCAACTACAAATTTATGCTCTGCTAATACACAGCCTTAAGTAGTTCAGCACCTGTGCCAGCAGCAAGCTCTGCTGCGACAACGATTACAAGGCAAAGAGCTCACTGCTCTGATTTTGTGGGTATGATCCTCCTTGGAAAGACGGAAGTAATTTTCTGCTTATGAAATGGTCTCTGTGTAGCAATTCAGAGCAGACGTTTTATAACAGCAAAAGCCCAAGATGCAACTCCACACCTGGCTGCCCAGTCAGCCCCATTACATGGCAGGAACGGCCCCCGGGACGGACAGAAAGGCTCCTTACCTCAAAGCAATAGTCTTGTCCCAGGATGCTACTGTGGACTGGCTTGATGACCACTTCTTCCTCCATGCTGAGATCCAGAGCCTCAACAGCACTACTGGGACTGAGCAAAGACTCGTGGGAGCGCGATTCTTTCAGCCTCGGCATTAGATGGGATCTAGAGGAAAAATGTAACAGTATCAGTGGATGTTTTCCTTCCCAGAGAAATTATTTAGTCCATCTGTTAGCAACAACTGCAGAATATTCCTGGGAATTTTTTGCCATGAGATAACCGAGGGCCCAGAATAGCCGGGACTGCTAGACTGTCCCATTTATAATTTGGTGAGCAGGTTCTATTACAGGCTGTATGTTCAGTAAAAACGTTTTTTCTAAACTCTGCTGCAGTCAGGACTACATTATTAGAGGTCTGTGGAGTGCGGGGTCTCTGCACAGCTGAGTATGTCTTTAAATGGCCATCACACCTGCTGCATGAGACCTTCCAGGTGCGTTGGAAGTATGAGCAGATCAGGGAGGCTGGCTGGCCCCAGCATGAACTACTGTGCACATTAGTACCGCAGACCCGGTGCTGAGCTCCAGTGGTGCTGAGTTCCAGTGGTGCTGAGCTCCAGTGGTGCTGAGCTCCGACTGCCAGCACAGGACTGGGTTTGCATGTGCGTGGGAGATCCCATTAGCATCCTACTTTATTTCATGCTGTTTTGCAGCACCCAGTCCCTACTGATGGAAGAAAGTTGCCTGCAAACGGGGAGGAATTAATGACAGATCCTTCTAAAACCCCAGACCTGTGTTCGCTCAGTGCATACAGAGCGTGCCTGGGCAGCGGCTGGCACTGCCAGGGCAGACGCCATCCCTGTGCGTAGGTACCCTTCTCCCCACCAAAACACACACATCTGTATCGCGGATGCAGCCAGTGTGTGGATCCGCACCCTGTAACCAATAACCCGAGGGCTCGTGTGCTCTCTCCAATTGTTACACACATCCCCGGGACGGGGACAGTGTGGAAAATAAGGCCATGATAGCCCTATTGATTGATCTAAATGCTCTGGAGTCCCACCGGCAGCATTTAGCAGCAGGGAGCCCACAGACAGCAAGCAGCACACCATTTTCGAGACAGCCAATACAATCAATGGTGCTGTAACTCTTAAAGCAAAACCAGAGAGCTCAAGGGGAAAAAAAAAAAGACAGCTAGGTAATCCCAGGGAAAACAGAGCAAAACCATAAAGTGGCAAGGGAAAAAATAACTTGAGAGCAAAGGGAGCAGTTGCCTTCTCTATAGCCTGCACCATGTAAAATGTTCCTACGCCGGCCAGCTCACAAAAGCTCTGATTCCAGTAGCTCTGACCTTTAAAACCTCTGGCAAGCACTTTAGGGTCTTCCACAGAGACCACGTGTCCCCCTGTCTATAAGAGAGTACGACGCCTTTTTCAAAGGCACGGAAGGACAGAAATAAGGGGAGTTTGAGATAGTCTCAGCACGGTCTTTTCTGAGCAAAACAACAATGCTCCCAGTATACTCTCAGATTGCTTTGTCTGTGTGTGTTGAGTTCTGTCGTTCTCTAGAATAAAGCTGACCAAAACACAGAGAAATGCCAACAGTGCATGCAGAATTCATAGCTTCCAGTGAATCACACGTCAAGCTGAATCTAGAAAATAGCCAAAGGAGGCTCTAAGATAAACAGCAGCGGAAGATAAACAGGTGCTTCTCTAGATTTGCCATTAAGATTCATGCCATCGATGAACCCCCAGGTGATAACGGATCAGCCCACACCTGGATTCTCCAGCTGAGCATGCTAAATGAACAGCTCTGAAAGCTGCAGGCCACCCCTCCTCCCCAGCGGCACTGCCGGACAACCAGCCCGGAGACACGCCACCCAAAGGTGAAGGGACAGCACAGTCTCCAGACACTTCCCTGCATCTCCTGAGGCTGACAGCCAGGACCAGCTGTGGTGATACCTGTTAAGGCATCTGCAGAAAAACAGACGACGACACCACAGTCTTTTTCTTAGGGGACAACCACCAGCCCTCAAATGTTGAAAGCCCCGGGTTAGCACAGCCTTGTGCGGCATCAGAAGCTGTGGCTTTGAAGCAAAAGGCCCTCTATCCCATTAGCAATTCTCTAAACTGCCCACTCACCCCGTATCTCTATGGTGAATAAATTGATCTTTAGGAACTGACCATAGTCGTTTCCCAGTACTTTGTGGCAATTTTACACTGTTTTCACAGAAAAGGGTCCATATCCTTTTCCGCTGAATGATACTGTACATTAACTCTGATACAGGCAGACAGATCAAGTTACCTCTGGACGCTGAGCGCAGAACTAACATCCAGCAGCTCAAGAACTGACAATACAGGCTGCTCACCAAGGCCCAGTAAGCCCAGGAACAAGGCATTTATGGTAAATCTTATTTCCATATTTTACAGATGAAATTAGAAAAGTTAAGTAACCAAGCTGAGACTTGCATTCTTGTGTGGACAAATATAAATATTGATAATCTAAACCCACAACTCAGGAACTACATACTGTAACACGCACATGTACGTCACCGAGCTGGACTGGTTCATGCTGGCCTAAGAATTTTTGTTAAAATTAAAACAAAACAAGTCTATTTTTCATTTAAAACTACTGCAGCTGCAAGGCTGCGGGTGGGAGTGCAGATGTGCAATACGAAGAATTACCAAGGGGGAGTTTCTGAGGACATATTATGTTCTCACCAGATTCAGCAAATGCATATTTATATCCCTCCATACTCTGCTGTACGCCTCTGGGAATCCTAAAATTAACAGGACTTTTCTTAGGCAGGAGGTTATTTGTCAGGTTCTTGCCTCGGCAGGACCCGCTCCCAGGACGCCTTTTACTCCTGAACGGCCGATCAGATCCAAGCCAGGTCAGTAACAGAAACATTTTTCACCAGATGCTGCACTGTACGGAGGGAGCGCTGCAGGTCTCAAACCAGCCCTAAAAGGCCCAGCATCTGTCTGTGTAGCAAGAGCTAAGTGGGGAGATGTCATTAATTAGAGACTCTCGTTTGAAATCTCAGCGGAAGGGATGAGAGATCTCTCTGCCAGAGGCAGCCCTGGCAGAGCAGGATGAGCGCTGCCTGTGCAGAGCCTCCTCCCAGGGTGACTGGCCCCATCCCCTCCCCAGCACCCCAGGGCCAGCCCTGACACTACGGCGCTTAACCCGCGGCAACCCGGCATGGTCCGGGAGGCTTGCAAATGCCACAGAGTGCAAGAAGGGCTATATACCACCAGCCTTCAGAGGACACACGGTCCTTTCATTTTAATACCCTGTTCTAGAGGAGAGCATTTCTCATGTCCTTTGGTAAGTAACATGACATTTGCGGCAGAAGTCCATTTACTGGAAGATGTTTGCAAGTCCCTGTCGCAGCTCCCACAGACTTCCCTTTGTATTAACAGTAAGAAAAAGGTCCTGCTAAGGCCATAAGCTGCTTCCCTGACTCAAGAGGGTGAGGGCACTCTTCTTACCGAAAGGACCACACAGCCTTCCCCCTGTTTGGGCAGGGAAAACATAAACCCACCATGTGCGTGTTACAGTGAAGCCCTCAGAGTGATAATGTCTCTGTCTTGTACCGCATCAGGCCATAAAAGACCTGGAGGGCTTCATCCAAAGACAATTCACTGGGCAAGGGCTGGCAAGTGCTAAAAAAACCCCCAGCAAATCCCCTTGCTGATGAAGAAGTGCAGAAATATTAAGCACACAATGTGACAGCTGGACTCAGCCTGAAATGGGGCATAAGGTGCCGGTGCGGCTGTGCTGGTGTGCCCCAGCTGCTGGGGAGACTCGTCTCGGTTCCCTCCAGCTCTGCCCCGAGATTCACCACCCACAGCCAGGATTTCCTCCTGGGGAGGCAGGCACGTTTCTATCAGGAGACCCCAACAACCTGATGTCCCCAAAGGAGTGTAACGATACATCACTGCTCCTGGGGCAGAAGCAGTGATATAAGCAGGAGATGGACACTCCTCAGCTCTGCCTGCTTCCACCCAGCGTGGGCAGAGAGCAGCATCCATGGGGACAGAGATACCACAGTCCCTGTAAACTCGTGCTCTTCCTTGGCCATCCAACATCCTAACAGGCAAACTCACCTGGAACATCATTTGCTTACTGCGTATATACACTTCCAAGATGACAGAGGTACTTTGTTCAAATTCATCTCTCCACCATCGCTTTCCAAAATGCTGCCTGTGGGGCCATCTAATCTCTTGCTGTAATAACTCGCTGTGTATTCCAGGTCTTGTCCCGGCTTACATGAGCTGATCAAATTCAGTTCCTACGCCTTTGTTTTAATATGGTGGGAATAGCCAGCTGCCCAGAGAAATCTCACAGCAGGAAACCCTCTTCCAAACAGCACATTCAGTTCCTTTTGCCATGGGCCTTGTTTTAATCCCTTTCTACTTGCCTGAAGTTCAGTTGAAATGAAGGGGGGAAAACATCTCATAAAAGACCACATTAGTTCTAAAGAGAAATAACATTACTGTTACCGGCACTGACCTGGAGAGTCATACAGAGAAGCAGCCAGTCTCTGGTTATTAAAGAAAGAAGTTTACTGCCCAAGAGCAATGAGAGAGGATTGTTGTTCTAAATAATAGAAGTCATAAAACATTACCATGTGAAGGGATGCTATCCCCCTCTGCCTGCTTCCTCCACAGGCAGCCAGAATTAGGGACGTCAAGTATTACCAGGCTGTGACACCACACCTAACCTAACCAGGACCTTGTGGACTGCCACAAAGACTTTGTGGACAGAGAGAAACAAGCACAGAGGGACAATCCATTCTCTCCTCATCAAACTTCAGGACTGGATTTTGAGCCATGGAGGCAGCAACTGTCCGTCTGCAGCAGTGGCACCACGCACACAACAGCTCTGCAGAATGACTGGAAGGACTGCCCGGGAGTCCAGGCTCGATGTTCTTTCAAGAACAAAGATACTCTGCCGACGCTACAAGGAAGGAAAAAATGTAGGGCCTGTCTACACAGAATTATTGTGGAATAGGTCTTGTGTGTTAAACTCATACACTCTTATTCCAGAATTGCTTTCTTGTGAAGACAAGCCCTCAAAGGGGCAACCCCATTGGTTTTCATTTCAGAACCTCACCTGCCTGAAACCACCCAGACGCTGCTTCTGTGGTTTTATGATGAAAAT